TATCGTGAAAATTTGTTATCTGCACATTTACTGCTATGATCTAAAGTAGAAATGTTCTTTATCCATATACATCCTATTATATATATATAAACAGTTTAATTCAGTTTTAATGTATTTGGTTATGTTTTATTACACTTCTATTTAAGTAGGTTGTTGTTTCTTAATTTTTGTTCTGAATTAATGTAAGAGGAGCATAAACTAGCATAAGATTTTCTGTCTATTAAATTAGTAATTTATTATTTTACGTACATAGTTATGTCAATTATTATGTCTGTTTTGTTTTTGCTTTTCTTTTTATCTATCATTTTGGTTTTCTGTCCATCGACAAATTATTATTTGTATATACGTAAAAAAGGGGATCATTTGTATCATTTACAGCTTTAGCAATGAAAATAACATCTCTTCGTATCAATATACCTCAAATGGCAACACGCTATACTTCTTCATGACGTCACCATGTGACTGAAGCCTAAAGTAGAGCACGGTACAGTGGGAATATCGACTACGCCGAGGTGCTTAGCGTAGTCACAGTTTTCTCGACAGAACTCCCTGAGCCAGCAAAGTGGAACCACACCAGTTCAACAGTCCAGAAAGTCACAAAAATCATCTTGGCTTGCATCTGGTTGAAGCTATTTACAGAAAACTTTGCATTAATTTTGTAATATTAGTTAATGTTATTATTCATAAATATTGTCTCGAACACAATTAGTAGAATCGATTGAAATCAAAACCGACTTATTGAAGCTTCCAAACAATTAAGAATATCTTTCATGATAAAGCTAATATTTACGCATCTGGTATAGATAAATCTAAAATTTCTGAAATTCTGAGCTAGCCTAAAGTCCTACAACCGACCATGGAATGTGACATGCCCGATTGTTTGCCGGTTTCAGCAGCTTCTGTATATGAAGATCTAAGTTACAATGAAACACAGAACCTAACCAAGAACGTATCCCAAAACGATGAACTTAAGATCTACCATTTTTATCAAGTGAGTAAATTTCTCTTAAGCATTTTAATTTTATTTTAGAGAAAAAATAATCATAAAATTTAATATAGTTGTAATAAATATAATATAATTGTATTGTAATAAAAACGAAATACAGAACACATTTTGAAAGCAAACGATAAAGTCAATCTTGTATCTATTTCGCATGAAACAACCTTCAAAATTGAAAAAAAAAGGAGTAAATGTAAGATGAAAAACTTACATAAAATGTTTTAGATCTCTTTAACTACACTTATTCTTTTTTTTTATCGGTTTTCTGTTCTTTATATGCTATTAACTTTGGATTCCCAGTAACTTACTATGGCAGAGAGTAGAGCAATAATACAAATTAAAGTTTTACGAAATCTATAAAACCTTTTTGTTCTCGTATCCATTTCACGCTAACAAAGTAACACGAAAATGGAAGTTTAACACGAATATATTTGGCACGAAAATCTTTAAGAACTTTAAACAAATGAAGCTAATAATAACGTTGAAATGAGGTTTCGAAATAGAACAAAGTGTATCTATTAAGCTATCTTGTATATTTCTATATTAAAAGGCTATAAATCCAGTACCCAATTATTGTCTCGTGTATATGTACGTACATTGTGTTTTTACCACATTTAATTTAGTATACAGATAAAAATTCTGTACAACTATTTACTAGTATGAAATCATTTATAAATTATGTTATAACTATACATAGTTTCTATATAATATCTCTACTAATTTTTATGTATGATAAAACTCAGTCTTAAAATCCGTTTTTATCTTGTATGAAAGTATTATTATACACGAAAAACGACTTCTAAGCTTGTTTATTGTTTATTTGTAATCAAGCACAAAGCTATACAATGGGCTGTCTGTGCTCTGCCCACCAAGGGTATCGAAACCCGGATCCTAGCGTTGTAAACCCGCAGACATACCGCTGTGCTACTGGGGGTGGGGGGGGGCTCTAAGTTTGAGTCATGTTGAACATTCGTTTTTCATTTGTTTGATTGTTGTTAAATACCCTGCTGTGATCACCATTGGTATCGAAACTGATTTTTAGCGTTTATAAGCCCTAAGAAGTTAACCAACTGAAAAACAACAACTTTAACTACGAGTGCATCATTTTATGATTGTAATATTAAACTATTAAATATCTCAAACATAATTATCTGAAATATTTTAACAAAGTAGAATTGTTACAAAATGATTATGTTAACGATCATGGAATAGTAATAAATATATTTGAAATGTAATTAATATTCCCAAAGACAAATTATGTGGCGGAATTAACTATAGTTTGAGTTGTTTTTTGTTGTTTTTTTCCTTGAGTAACTTCTTAATTAAAATTATGGTATCAGTTGAATTATACATATACATATATATATATATATATACCATCATAAAGTAGATGCCCTGTGAAAAGCTTCTTACATCAATATATTTCAATGTAAAAACGAAAATTATTAATTACAAATAATAATAGTAATATTAAATTCAACTTGCCTCTAAGTAAAACAGAAACCATCAAGATACGTTGAATAATAGGTAGAGTCTGGCTTGTAGTCAGTATGGTAAAATCAAATCACTACGTACGTTGACTAAGTCAAACGTTTGACCTAACAATAATTATATTAGAATGTAAAGATATTAAAATTAACAACCTATTCGGACAAAAGGACCAAGGCTGTGAAGAAAAAGGAAAGAAACGAGTAAAATGTAAGGCAATTACCTTATTAATTAGCAGCAATGAATGAACAATTTGCTATTTCGCTGGACTAACAGTATTGGAGTGAGGACCCATTTTTTTAACATATTGATTACAGTGCGCATCATATTATCAGGATTTCTCTCTTGGTTTGTGAATTTTTTTCCCTTTTAGTTTTCTTCACAGCATTACTGTGCATTTTGTTCATTAGTGTTAGGCAAAAGCCATATTCAACTAGTTTTTTCATCTAGCGATATAATTCGGCAGATGGCGCTACAGTCATCTCAGAACTTGAAAATGTATAACAAAACTCGATATAACATTTTATCATGTTATATTTAATGCTAATTTAATTTTTATTTATTTATATCTATAATTTATCTTACACTTTGAATACATTTACTTTATTAATAAGCTATAGTTTTAATCTTATTTATTATCTACATTATATTGTCGCTAACCAGCAGTAATAGGAAACAAATCTATAACTGTAATTTTAGGGAATTTGCTAAGTAATATTTTACACAACACGAAGAGGGAAGTGTTTATTTTACCTATAGATAGGCCTTTTATTTTAGACATTTATAATTTTAAAAGTTTGAAGCAGTTTTTTTTAAATTTATCTCTATTCTACTCCTGTGAAATATGTCATCTACCGAAGTTATATTATCCTGTATCTATTCTATAACGTTTGGTTTGAGCAGTTGTAGGATCAAACTGCATGCAATGTTTTCTCTAGATTCACTTTTGATATTTGTGTTTATATTTAACTATTCAGGATGACAAGATAATTTTCTATTCATTTTTCGTCAGATCTAGAAACTAATATATAAAGTAGTTTGACTAACTTTTTTCATGTACAATGTGAATTTGTTGTTTGTATTTTCATGAATGGTGAGTACGTGTCGATATGATCTGTTTATCTGTCTTATTATAGAAAACGGGGTTATTAACGAGTAATAATTCTATACAATTACACTAAGTAGGCATTTTTTGCATGTTAATAACATTTGTTTATACGATATTATTATCTCTGTCACTTTTAAATAGACTTCATACATGGGAGGCAAACATTCGAGTGAAATTAACTTATAAGCGGTACAACTTATTTTGATGTATAATGTGAATAAAAAGGAACTAGTCGCCTGACCATCTTCGATTTTGGTATTTAAAAAACATATGATGAACACTTGTGATTAAAGTTCATTTAATTTAAAAATCATATGATGAACACTTGTGAATATTGTTCATTTAATTTAAAAACCATATGATGAACACTTGTGAATATGGTTCATTTAATTTAAAACCATATGATGAACACTTGTGAATATGGTTCATTTAATTTAAAAACATATGATGAACACTTGTGAACATGGTTCATTTAACTATGTCTTATTATAGTCAACGCTGTTAGCTAGAAATTGTGGCAGTTTTAACTAAGTGGAATAGCAATATTTCGAATTCAATTAATCAAATTTTTCGTGTGTTTTTTTATTTAAAGTCAAAGTTGAGTAATCATACAAACATTATAAGTCTTGTGCACACAGCAACTTTAAAAACGAAATCATCTAAAAGAACGCACCTGGACTATTGTATCAATTTTGTACTGTAGATATCCGGACTTTTCTTAAGAGTCTTGAATAAATCAGTCACGCTTCACTACTGAAGTATGAGAATACAGACCTGAAAGCGACTTTGGTGCAACTGTTGAGACGGTTTACACTGACATATATTCAACTGTATGAAACCAATACGATAGTTTATAATAATCTACGTTGAATATACGTGATACAAGCAGAAGTTTTCATGTCAAATGTTGTCAAACACATCCATCATTCCAGGACAATGTCAAAGTGCGTGTTTAATGTTAATTTTTTTTAATTGAAAACACGTCACACTTACGTGACCAGTCACTTCTAAAGGACAACTGATTTTTTGGTATTGATATGTTTGACCTCATTGGGCTGAAGGTGCCTTTGAACACGTTGTTTATTAAACATGTGCGATCTAATGTGGCAATACAACCAATAGCTAGCACGTGACCTCTAAAGTTATTTTATTGACAGATCTAGGAAACTAGACAAGTCTTTCATGCTACATTCCATTTTCGGTCAAAACGAAAGAAAAAATAAATAACTTCTAGCATTTTGCTGTTTATTATCATACATAAAATGAATAGTCCTTATATTTTTACTGACAAGATCCAAAAGTCAGTAAACAATCCCACCTTTAGTCAGCATAGTGAAACAAAAATAATAAAGAAATTGGTTGTTTTTTAACGAGTCTAAACATTAAAGAACACCTTTCGAACCATATTGAGAATAACGTCCAAAAAAGGACATAGGTGATATGATCAACATGGTCTAATTTCAACAAGAAAGAGAAATCTTCAATTTACATTCAATACACAAAGTATAAGATAGAACGTTAACTGGTTTTGCATGTCAAGAATATCTTGATCAGCTATTGATGAAATCAGCAGATCAGAAAGCTGATTGCATTACATTAATTTACTGAGCTGATCAGATATGGCCTGAGGTTCATTCAAACTGACCTATTTTAGATATTGTTTTAATAACCGTTTACCCCAAACATAAAAAAATACATATTTTTAACATGTTAGCATTTCATTTTATCATTAACTAAATAAACATTAATTTTACATAAATCATTGAACTCTTCTCTTAAATGTTCCTCACGAATTAAAACCTTATTTCACATTTACACATTGATCATGCGTTATCATTTATTTTATCAAACAACGTTGTAAAAGCGTTCATAATGTGTTTAAAAGACATAATATTAAAGATAGAATAATATTTGTTTTGTGTTTTTTCTTATAACAAAACCACATCTGGCTATCTGCTGTGTCCATCGAGGGGAATCAAACCCCTGATATTAGCGTTGTAAATCCGTAGACTTACCGCTGTCCCATCAGGGGGACGACAGAAAAATAGAAGTGGTGTTTAAAATGTTGCTTGTATGTTTGTTTGTAATTAAGCACAAAGCTACACAATGGGCTATCTCTGCTCTTCTCACTACGGGTATTGAAACCCGAATTCTAGCGTTGTAGCTCCGTTAAAATGTTGCAAGTTCAATGGAATTCTACTTTTAAAAATAAAAATAATGAAAAACTTCAAGGGGGCTCAGATTATAGAAAAAGTCTGTATTAAATATGTTATGAGTAATTGTTTTTGATATATTCCGCAGGGCTATCTGTGCTAGCCGTCCCTAATTTAGTGATAGACTGGAGAGAAAGTAGCTAGACAACATCACCCAATGCCCAAGTCTTGGGCAATTCTTT